TGAGGGGAAAAATGAGGAGCTGATACCAAGGGCTCAAGTAGAAAGCAAATGTTTTGAGAATGATGATGGCAACAAATGTACAAATGTGCTTGACACCATGGATGGATTTTTGGATTGTGATAAGAGTTGTACGAGCCCCAATAAAATGATTTTTTTTAAAAATAAAACGTAAAAAAGAACTTCAAGGACCACACCAGAGATGCTCAGAGAAGAGCATGTTCCTCAGAGCCAACAGAAAGGGCCTTCCCCTATAGCCGGGCCCTGGATTCACATGTCCAGCCTCTGAGGCAGGAGCCCTGGGGTTGCTGTGGGCTGAGCACTGGGTGCTAACTGCAAATGCACATGCTCACCCTGGCCAGCTGCTCAGGGGAGACCGGCGAGGCGCCTGCCCCACTGCGCGTCACAGCCTTGCAGACTCACGCAGCTCGCTGAGGGCTGGGGTCGACTCTGCACTGTGGGTCTTCTTTTTTTTTAAAGCTAATGAGAAAATAGCTTTCTAGTCTTACAAACAACCCACTGGCGTATTTCCGTCACCGCGGCACTGTGTAGCCAAGGCCCCCTTAGCACTGCTCCTCAGGGGCCTCGATCCCTAAGCTGGCTGGGCCTGGCGCCGGGAGGAAGACTCTGAGACTGTGCTCCTGACAGGGCAGCGGGCACGGCATGGCACGGGGTGGCCGTCCCACGAAGCAAGCTGGCGCAGGAGTGAGGGGGGGGGGAAGCTCCAAACAGTCGGTTTCAGCTTGCGCCGCAGAGAGACGTCACCCTGGAAGTGGACTTTTACTCCACAGGGCATAGGTGCGTCCACACACTCATTTTGTGATCAGCCAACACCGAGTCGAGGTCGACTCACAGTGACCCTACAGGGCAGGGTAGAACTGCCCCTGTGGTTTCCGAGACTGGAACTCTTTATGGGAGTAGAAAGCCCCGTCTTTCTCCCTCAGAGCAGCTGGTGGCTTTGAACTGCTGACCTTGTGGATCACAGCCGAGCGCGTCACCACTACCCCACCAGGGCTCCTCTCTAAGGAAGCACAGGAAGGAACAAAAGGAAAGCCATGGCTTCAGTGGACAAAGAACCTGCCGTCAGAAGGCAGCTTCCACAGCCAGGAGCCACTCACCCTCACTTCAGTGCTGTGCTTGGAAGAGGTGGGGTGAGACTCTCACAGGGCTCTTACGAGACCCGAATGAGCTTTTAGCTCAAACCTGGTGCTCGGTCCTCGTCGGAGCCCATCCCCATGCCTCTCTGGCCTCTTTAACCCTAACCCGCCCAACCCCACTCTCACCAAAGTGATTCTGAGGCTGTCCACCCCCACAGAAAGGCACCGTCTCAGAAACCCGTAGGGGCGGCCCTACTCTGCCTATAGCATCACGATGCGTCGGTGTCCACTCGATGACAGTGACCCTGAGAGGGCTTCCAATACTATAAATCGCTGCGGGAGCTGGAAGCCTCTTCCTCCACCATGCAGGGGGCAGTCCAACACCTAATCCATAGCACCACCTTTTCTTCAACCCAACAAGTACCGAAACCTGCCTTTCCAATAGTTTCAAGTACCTGATGCCCTGCCTCATCGACCACAGGCACGTAGTCCATGCTTGCTAAATCAGTCGTGCCCTGCCCTGTACCCATAGCCATTGGGGGCGTTGCAAGAAACAGGATACGGCTGTGCGAGTGTTCACTGAAAGTCATGCTGCCACTGCCACACAGACTGGTTCAGGACTAACTGATCTCCCTAGGGCAGGGCACATTCCCCACCAGACCCTCCCCCAAATCGTCCTCCTTCATCCCACCACTCCTCGGCACAAAGCCTCGGCACAAAGCCTCGCCACACAGTCTCTAATCCCAGGCACAGAGCCCGTCCAGTCCCCATCTCAGCCGGCCAGACCCCGTCCTCACAAACTCCTTCCCGGAAGACCTACTAGAGCCCAGCTTCTCCCACCCCTCAGAAACAAGCACCTGACAGTTCTGCACAGGGAGGGGCTCGGACAGGTGCTTCCCTGAGACCACGCCTCAAAGCACGGCGGTGAGCCACACGGGTCAGGAGCTAGTGCTCGCTGCAGGGCGGGCAGAGGTCTGGGTTTGGAATCCTGACTCCCCATTCGGTGAAGTGCATGCATCCCCTTGAACAAGCCGCAGCTGCCTGCATGCTTTGTGTGAAGCCACCTCAGGTGACAATTAAATGAGGCAATCCACGCAGCTATCTGTAACGTTCAAAACATGGTAGCTATTTTTATCAGTAATAACAGGGCTGGAGCAGGTGCTGTGCCCTGCCCGCCTGGCCAGTCCTCTGGCTTGGGATACCCATTCCCCACCTCTTGGCTACCACTAAAGGGGTACCCATGGTTAGAATTGACTTGGGCTCCCAGGCCCCCTTTAAAGCAAAGCAGAAACTATAACCCCTTCACTGGGAAGACAGGATTTTTTTTTTTTTGTCAATGTTAATACTGTAGACCCTGCCTAGATCCTTCCAGCTGTGTGCTGCCCCCAAACCGGTCCATTTCCCCATGCTTACAGTGCACTGACCCATCAGAACCAAGGTTGACCAGAGACCGGAGAGCTCAGAGGCTCAGTGTGGACTCGGATAGAGGGCCAGACCAGAAGGAGCAGACAGCCGGAGCCGTGGTTCCATGAGCCAATTGCCCTCAGACAGAGAGCAGGGCTGCAGACAAGGCTGTCATTAGCAAGAGCAGACAGGGGTGACACCGATGAGTCACCAGATGTCAAGGACAGTAGGGGAGATCTGAGTTTGGAAAACAGCAGAGGCTGTGCATCGTGACCCAGTCCTTTCTTAGTGGCATAAGCAGGCTGGCTACTTCCCAAGAGACGGGTTAGAACAGTGGTTCTCAACCTTCCTAATACCGTGACCCTTTAATACAGTTTTTCATGTTGTGGGCCCCCCCCCCAAGCATAAAATTATTTTCGTTGCTACTTCAGCACTGTAATTTTGCTACTGGTATGAATCGGGTGACCCCTGTGAAAGGGTCATTCAACTCCCAAAGGGGTCTCGACCCACAGGTTGAGAACCGCTGGGTTAGAGGAAGCCGGGTGACCCTCGCCACGGGCATGGCCAGCCAGAGAGGGCCCTGGGATGACAGCAGTGGAGAAAAGACAGGGAGTGCTGATCTGGCTGGATCTCAGAAGGGGGCACAGGGAAGGTTAAGATTTCTAGGCAACAGCAGTCCATCCGTTAGTACCATCTCTGCTGGGTGTGACAACAGGCAAGAATCAGCATCTCTGGTCAGCAGGCACTCCGGCCCTGACCCCGGCTGCCACTGGGCCAGTGTTCTGCTTCCACCAGCCTCCAGGCAGCAGGGCACCACGTCACTGCCGTGGCCAGGGCCTGCTCCCTTTATGCAGCTGGTGAAAGGCCAGGCTTTCCTGGGAGTGCTCTTCTAAGAAACCAGGGGGAGCCCAGACCAAGACTAGCCCCAAGCAAAATACAAAAGCAGAGGCAAAACAGAGGAGTTCACACCACCCATGGGCCTTACACCACCATGGCTGGCACCCACCCTACATGGGCGGCCCAGCAGGGCTCTCCAGGTACAGAGAGAGCACCCTCCCGTAAGTGGTCTTGGTGATCAGGAGAGGGATTCTTAATAGTTCTAGACTCAGGCTCCAGGCAAGAGGAGCAGGCAGGCTGCACATGAGTTACCTTCAGGGTTGGTCCTGAGCCCCGGGCCAGGGGAAAATCCTCACCCCCACAAATGCCCTTCCTACTGTCTGTCCTCAGCAGCCAATGCTCTAAATTCCCTTTGAAGAGCTTAAAATGAAAATGTTCCTGGGCCCGTCCAGAACACCCTCATTTCCTCAGTCAGCAGCGTGGACTCCAACTGACAATTAGTAAGCGGGGGGGGGGGGGGGGGGGGGGGGGGCGGGGGGGGGGGGGCAGGGGGGTGCCCTGCGTGGCACGAGGAGGGAACAGAGGTGATAGCCCGATGCCCAAGCAGCTCTCATTGCAGGGAGAAAGTCATGTCAGTTTGAACCAAATGGGGAATGGTGTGACCAGGACAAAGTTGGCCAAGTGTGGCGTGTGGCCAGGACAAGCTGGGCGGAGGCAGGGTGGCCTGGGCAGGTGGGCACGGAGTTGGCGCCACATGGCGCCCGTTACTGATACCAGACCCTCCCCTGCAGGGTGCCTCTAACCACGCGACCCCACCTGGGGCAGGCCCTGCTTACCTCGGAGCGGGGGAGTTGAGCGAGCAGTTTTGTAACTCCCCGGATGCAGGTACGGAGAATGCCGTGGGTAATTAAGTCTTTTCTCCAGGCTAAATAATCTCAAAATGTGGTATCTATTGAGTCCCCAAAATGTGAAGTGACATTTCCCCAGAGTGAGGTGTGTGAAGCCCAAAGCAAACATCTGCAGGCAAGTTACTAAAAATTCATTAGCGAGGAAGCAGCAGGACCTTGGTCTCTCCCGGAATGAGGTCAGAAGAGAAAGTCCTCGTGTTCTCGGCAACCCAATCTTGCAGCTGCCCCTCCCCGCCCAGCCACCCACCCCCGCCCCGCAGGGCTGCCGTGTCCACGCTCCAAGTCGACGATGAACTAATCACCAACTTAATCTACTCCCTAAAGATCATGGTTCGGTTTCAGAGCGCAGAACTCCCTTAACAGGACTTTGGCCGGGCCCGCCGAGATAGCTCCTGTGATGACCTCCTCTCATTAGGAGCGTCTGGAATTTTCCATGCTCCTTACTGAAGTCACTGGCTGTTTCTCTGTTCGAGTGTGGGGGTGCAGAGACAAAGGAGGTAAATAAAGAAGCCCTCTGCTACTTGGGGTGGGTGCACAAGTGGATGGACATAGAGCCCAGAAGAAATGAGTTTGGCAGGGGACAGCAACACAGGGACAGCGGCCACATGTGGGGGGGGGGGCTTCTTCCCCCAGCCCAGGCCTACTTGCTACCTCTCTGCCCTGGCTCTTCTGAAGGCCTGTCCATAGTGGCCCCTGGTCCTCCTTCTGTCCCCTGGAGGTGGGCATCTCCTCTGGGCTCGACCTCGGTTTCTCCACATGTTTTCTTCAGAGGACGGCCACGTTCACAGGTCCCCAACTCCCCAGGGGTGACCTGCCTTCTCCTGCTGTAGCCTCGCGGGAACCACAGGCTTGGACAGGGGGTGGAGGTAGGCAGCAGCCTGACCGGAAACTGCCCCAGTGCTTTGTGCTTCTGGCCTGGCACTGTTAACAGCGCACTCCCATCTTTGCCACTGGGCCCCCAGCACCTGCCTCGGCCCACCTGGGAGCCTCACCTCAGTCACTGCACACTCCTAATGTCCGGCCCCCATCAACACCGAGCCTGGCTCGTCTCCCGACAGTTTCATCATGGCCTTTCCCATGGGCCAAACCCCTGGTCCTAGACACCTGACGGGGGTTCAACGCTCACAGAGAACAGGCCTCTCGACCTCCCGCAAGGCTTCATTCCCGAAGCAGGCAGGCCCCGCAGCAGGTGCCTGGCCACCCGAGCATGCCTTCAGCGTGCTCCATCTCAAGCTCGTCCTCTACCTCCTCCCGCCCCCTCCCCAGGGGAGAGAGGGGTCAGAGGGCATGGTGGGGGCTCACTTACCGAGTGGCCTCGGAGCTCGGTGGCGGCCTTCTGGAAGTGTGGCATTATCCTCTTGCACATACTACACCCTAATCACACGGGCAGGAGAAAAGCACATGGTGACCAGGGATGGCCAGGCCCCCGCTATCCACCCCCCTTCCAGCCCAGGAGCACCCACAGCCCCTGAGCCTATGAAGACCAGGGCGGCAGGAGGCACCCCGCTGGGAGGAGCCAAATCATACAAGCAGGAGACAACCCACATGGCAAGGCTGGGGCCACGTGGAGCCCATGCACGTTGCTGGGGCGGGGCGTTACGGGTGCCATCCTAAGTCCCACTCTAACTCACAGCGACCCCAGGGTAACAGGATGAAACACGTCCCGGCCCTGCGCCATCCTCCCTGCCGTGAGCGTCAAGCCCCCGGCCGCAACCCCTGGGTCGGTCCATCTCGGGGCAGGCAATGGCACAGCCACGGTGGAGGATGGTTTGGGGGCTCCTCGAACATCAAATAGTTGCCCACATGACACAGCACCCCCACCTCCACCCCGCACCGCAGACTTCAAAGCAGGGACTCAAATGCAGTGTCCACTGCGGCATTGTCCACAATTGCCAAAAGCTGGAAGCCACTTGTAAGTGGCAGTGGCAGCGGAGGTACTGCAGATGACTTCACATGGCCCAGTGCTGCAAGGGCCCATCGCTAATGGCCTCTGGTCATGGTGGTGGACCGCCCACCAAGTGACGGACTGGGTGTGGCCAGGCAAACAAGGTGCTTGTGGCCCACCAGAGGGACTGGATACTGAAAACTCCAACCAAACGCACTGCCATCTGGTCAAGGCAGGCGCAGCAACCCTCTAGGACAGGGTAGAACTGCCCCTGGGAGTTTCCAAGACTGTCACTCTTTACTAGAGTAGAAAGCCCTTCTCTCCATCCCCCCTCCCCCAGAGCAGCCAGTGGTTTTGAACTGCTGACCTTGTGGATCGCAGCCTAACGTGTCATCATGAGGCCTCCAGGGCTCCTTGGGGATGAGACGGCCAACTTGCTAATCGTGCAAACAAAAACTCGAAAACCAAACTCACTGCCATCGAGTTGCTGCCGACTCGCAGCAACCCCATAGAACAGGGAACACTGCCCCTGTGAGTCTTTCTGGAAGTAGAAAGCCCCATCTTTCTCCTGAGGAGCAGAGGGTGGTTTCGAACTGCTAGCCTTGCAGTTAGCAGCCCAACTTATAACCACTACACCACCAGAGTTCCTGTAATCCTGTAGATAAGGTGCATCACTGGGAACATCATACAAAGTGAAATGAGTCGCTCACAAGAGGACTGTACGAGGCATATCCCCACGCCTACGCAATATCTCATCTAGGGACCAGTACTGCTGGTTACCATGGCGGCCAGGAGGGCGTGGGGTAGGGGAATCCTGTTTAGGAAGCACGGACTTTCTGTTTATGGTGATGGGCATTTGGGAACAGCTCTGGGCAGTGAGTTGCATAACACAGCTAATGGAATTGGTATCCGTCGCACAGGTGAAAAAAGGCTACATTGTCATGTGCTGTGTATCTACGTACAGCAATCCTTCTAAAGGAAGAGCAAGGAATGAGAGGCCAAGGGACTTGGCCCTGCGGGAGCCGAGCACTCTGCATGGCGAGCTGGACGCGCAGAGGTCACTGAGCTCGCTTGTGAGTCAGAGCATCGGGAGGTGGCAGAAAGGCAACCCTCCTCACGACAGGCCCTGAGAGCCAGGAAGGGGACGTGTGGGAACCCAGATCAGAGGTGGTGACGGAGGGAGCGATTCGGCCAGCACCGTCATAACAGTGGGGCTTTTTCGGGCCCTTTCTTCTCTCTCGCTGAAGGAATACCACGCAGTAACTAGAGGCCACCCAGAGGTGCAGCGGGAGAATGTCGGTGCAGACGCTGAAAACCCTGCAGGCAGAGCTCTACACGGACACCCCTGGGGCCGCCCGGCAGTGCCAGCCTGGCTCAGCTGGAGAAGGAGGAGGCTGCCCTCCTGTGAAAGGCACGGGCTCCGGCCCCCTGGAAAGGACCTGCACGGCCCTAGCTGGGCGGCCTGGACCAATCCCCTCCCTTCTGAGTCCAGCTGGCAAATGAGGGAGCGAGGTTATCCAGTGGGTGGGACCAACGCCGGCCCTGAGAGGCTCTGCCCTCCGAGGCTTCTGTGCGTCTCCGGCTCAGTCCTTTCTGGGTTCCGAGCCCTGGTCTTCACCTAGATGGGGTGTGCCTCCCACCCACCCCTATCCCCACTCAGGGCCGTGCTGTAAACCACCCGCTGTTACGCCAGTTGGGCCTCCACTGACGCCTAGCCCTCGCTCAACCAGAGCTGGCCACGGACTCTGCTGGGCCAGGCTGTTAAACCTCCTGGGCAGCCAGGATGTGGCTAAGCAGGGCTGAGACGTGTGCAGCCAAAGGCCACGGGCCGAAACTGCCTGTGACAGCACGCCCGACCGCTAGTTCTCCTCTCCACGTGCGCAGTGGGGGCAGGGACTGTGAGGGCCGCCAGCAGGCCCTGCTCGGCTGACCACACGAAATCAGGGAAGCAGTTGCCCCATGCGCACAGCCATAGACCCTGCACCCCGGGCCCCCTCCCTGGGAGCGGGATGGGCGTCAAGCTTGAGCTGAAGTTCACGTCCAGAGCCCTAGTGGCAGCCTGGTCAGTATGGACTGGGTGGCAATCCGCAAGGTCAGCAGTTTGGAACCACCGGTGCTCCTCTGAATCCCCACCTCCCCAACTCCTTCCAAGTCGGAGGGACTCAGCGGCAGGCCTGCGACAGCCTTGGGACCACCTCATCCCTCCAGCCCTTGACTGGTCACCTGTCCTCACACGTGTGGCCTCACTTTCAGCACGCAGTCAGCCTGCTGTCCCCCAGTCCAGCAGGACTGAGCGGAGCAGTCACTGAAGAGAAGAGGTAATGGAGGAGTGACAGTAAGCTACAGGCGGCGGACAGCATCCAATTTAACTCTCCCCCAAATAGAGCTGGCACTGGGACCCCCAGCTGGCTTGATCTTTCTCCAGACTCAGGGGGGAAAACAAGACTAATGATCAGCCTCAAACCCCAAAGTCAGAGCAGTCAGCACTTTGGGTTTTCAGTGACTACACAGCAGGACCCCGGGAGCCCGCCTCCCTGTCACTGCCTTCTGGTGGGCTAGGCCCAGACACCATCAAAGGGCCGAAGGTCCTGACAGACGCCCCAGTTAGCAAGCTGCTGCTGAGCCCAGGCCCAAGCCGGAACTGTGACGCTGTGAAGTACGAAGAATGGAATAAAAAGCAAGTTTGAATCATTTAGAAAATAACCAGTCTTGGGTTTATCTGGGACCCAGGAGGCCCCTCAACTGACCAGCCGGTGACAAGTTTGAACCCGAGTCTTCTGCTCCCCCAAGACTAATACACTCTGATACTAAAAGGGACCTCGTTATCCTACACAGGCAATGGCGAAGCTCACGTGGCCCGTCTATGACGATGGGGGACAGGCTGCCAGACAACCTCAGTGAGTCACCGGGGAGGGGGAGACGGCGCCTATCTTCAGGTGCAAACTGCTGGAGAGCCGCCCTTCGCTGCACATGATGAACCGGCGTCATCACTCGGCAACCTTCCCTGCGACGGCATCTCCCTGCCCTGTGCTACGCGCCATCTCCTGTCCCACGCGGTCCTCCACTTTCGTCCCACAAGTGCACTGTGGGCAGTCTGAGATTTGGGCTGTGTAGGCCGGACAAATCCTGAAGCCAGTTCTGACTAGGGCAATTAATAAGATCGCTTTGAGGAGAAACAGTAAGAGGGAAATCAATTCATGGATGTTAATGAAGAAGCTGGATCCATCAGTGAGAGGATCCCCGGCAGACATACAGGGCCTGGGGACTTGAGCACTGAGAACCAGGCTGGGGAGCGGCTGTGGTAGGGTACAAGCCAGGCAAAACCCTCAGCCCCCAGAGAGAAACCTGGCCAGTGGAGATGAGCGGGCTCTTTGCCTATAGGACTTCTCAGACAGGGGGGCTCGAGAGCTTAAAGGACAGGCAGAGCTCTGGTGCCACCTCTCAGTGCCCTGGACGTGCCGGGCACAGGCCAGCCATGCCCTCCTGACGAAATATGTGGGCCAAAGGCTCCCAGCTCAAGACCCGTTAGACTACCAGGCCGACCATACAGTAAATATTTGAGAGTTTGCAAGACCATGTCTGTTTGACTACTCAGCTCTGCCGTGTTCCAATCAAGATTTATTTACAAAGAGGTAGCCGCTAGCCCATGAGCCCGGGTGAGCTCACCCTTGTATTAGAGGGTTGTGAAGTCGTATGAAAAAACTCATTCTTTAAAAAATAAAACTGAAAAGAAAAACGTCCCTGAGCACTGCCCGTGGTAAAGGGAGTATGGAGGTGGATGGCAGGTTGTAAGGGCAGGTATGGCTTTGGGAAACCCTTTGCTTCAGTTTATTCACAGAGAATACAATTCATGTACTTACAGTATTGGATAGAGCCCTGGTGGCGTCGTGGGCTGCAGGTGGGGCTGCTAACTGTAAGGTAAGCAATTCAAACCCACCAGCTACTCCTTGGGAGAAAGATGAGGCTTTCTGTTCCCATGAAGATTTAGTCTCAGAAACCCACAGGGCCGTCCTCTCCAGTCCTCGAGGGGCACGCTATCAACACGAGGGCAGTGGGTGTTGATGGGATTAGCACTGGACAGGCCCCTGGGGAGGTAGAGGGTTTGCTCTCGGCGACCACCGGACAGCAGCACTGCGGCAGAGAGGCCTGGCGATGCCTGCCTTCAGCTCCCAGCCCCACCACTCGGTGGGGCAGTCCTACTCTGCACACACGTGCCCCCGTGTGCTTCCACGTGTGTGAGTTCAGAACCGACACGTCAGCAACGAGGGGGCAATACTGGGTTCTCATGTAAAATACTTTCAGTACCGTGGCATGTGGTGAAAAGGTTGGAAAGCCACTGCTATGATCCAGCCCCTTATTTTACAGACAGATATGGAGGCCCGGAGAGCGGGCAGACTCGGCCAAGGGCCAGTGTGACAGAGTTGGCGTCGAGCCCAGGCCTTCTGTTGTCATCTCAGAATTCCGGCGGCTGCTCCCCCCAAAGCCCTTGCCTCACATGATCTGAACCCAAAGTCTGGGCCCGTATCTCCCCGCCACAAAATGCTGCAGGGGCGTGCTGCTAATGCTGACAGTGTGGGGGCAGGGGTGGAGGGTGGCAGTGGCTAGTCTGTAGCATGGTGGCACTCAGCTGTCCCAGAGACCACGTGCACGGTGCCCCAGCACATGCCAGGCAGGAGAGGGTGTCCCACCAGAGGCTGAGGGGCAAGGAAGGCAGAGCTAGCTGGAGAGATGCAGGTGGAGGTGGAGGAGGGTAGAAGAATGCTGATTCCAGGGCAGAGGCGTTTAAACGGATGAGGCAGCAGGAGGGGAGGAGCCACACAAAAAAGCCAAGAACCATCAAAGTGTGCAGACAGACGGATGCAGATGCAGTGTGACAACGAGAGGCGGGGTCCGTTCCCAGCCCCGCTCAGGGGCCCTGTGGGCAGCACCCTCAGCTCTGGCCGGGAGGACAGGGCTCACTCACAGGGGGCGTAGAACATCATCAGGAGAGGCTTCTCTTCCTTCTTCAGCAGCCGCCTGAAGTCCTGCGGCAAAAGGAAGGCAGAGAGGTCACCGCCGGCCCAGGGATGTCCAAGACTGTCACCCAGGTCCACGCGGCCCCAGGATGGGCGAGCACCCCAGAGTCCACTCACGGCCATCCCTATGCTAACGTGCACTGCAGCCCTGTCCACCTCCCACCGATGAACGGACACACAACATGGGGTACACCCAATTCGTGCCCTCGAGTCACTGACTCACGGCGACCCTATGGGGCAGGGTGGCACTGCCCATGAGTTTCTGAGACTGTCACTCTTTTCAGGAGCAGAAAGCCCCATCTTTCTCCCTCGGAGCGGTGGCTGGTTTTGAACTGCTGGCCCGGTGGTTATCGGCTAACACGTAACCACTCCGCCACCAGGGCCGTCAACCCCAAGACATCAGAATGTGAAGACGGTGAGTGAGCACTAGGGGCGCAGCACTGCCCCTGAAGAATTCTGTGCTCACCCACTGACAGCCCATCCAAACAGCACTGTGGGGCGGCTTTCAGGGGCTCCACAGGTGTTCCTTTTAAAAGCTCATTGAAAGTTTGGGAACACTTTTGAAATCCTGGGGGCGAGATGGGGGCTGTGGAGCGGTGGGGTGTTTCCCAAGGAGGTCCTGCCAGGACAGCCCCGGAATGGGAATGCGCAGGTCCATCCTGGGGACGTTAAAGAATTCCTCGGCACGGTTTTGCTGACCTCACTCAGCCAACGCGGCTTTGGTCTGCTCTTTGGGAGGGGCCATCCAGAGTAGCCCTCGAGAGAAAGGCCGTGGGACCCGGAGCTGACCCCTCTGACGGCTACCTCACCAGCCCAGCGGAGCCCCTCGGAAGCCAGTTTCGACTGTACTGGCTTTGAAAGCAAGACTCAGACAAGCGTGCCACTGGGGACGTGTCTGCAGCCACCCGCCAACCAGAGACGAGCGTGCACACATTTTGTCTGCAGATGAACTGGCGCCCCCATGAACTGGACTGCCAGCAACTAGATGCAGACGTACCCTCCTCTATCTTTCCTACTGCCAAAACCGAGAAGAACCCAGGCAGTCTGACTGGAGTCTGGGGGGCACACTAGGGGAGTCACAGCAGGCCGTAGGCATGGGATCATTCTAAACCATCCTCACCCATCACAGATGGGAAACGGAGGGCCAGAGGGGACAAATGGCTTTTCCAAGGCCACCTGGTAGGATACAGTAGTCAGGCCAGGTACCTCGCTGTACTTCCAGCCCCCCCTCAAGAGAGTGAAGAGGGCCTCTTTTGTGGTGTGAGGCTGTTGAACAGTCTGCTCTCAGAAGGGTTCTTGGCCTTGGAAAACCTATGGGGCTGCCCTATGGGGCACCAGGGGTTGGACTCAGTCCCAGACTGGGCTACACTAAGTGGAGGGCAAAGGAAGGACACAAAGCAGCACATAAGAGACGTGTAAGGGACCGTCCTTAACTCTGTATCACGCTGAAGGCTGGGAAAGAGCGGCAGTCGGTGTTTCTCAAAGGAAAACACAACGAATGTCAGCTCTTTGTTGTTTGACCCTGAGCTGTATTTGGCTTGGCAGTTACATGTTGGGCTGCTAGCTGCAAGGCCAGCAGTTCGAAACCACCAACCACTCCTAGGGAGAAAGACAGGGCTTTCTACTCCTTTAAAGAGCGACAGTCTCGGGAACTCACAGGGGCAGTTCTACCCTGTCCTATGGGTCGCTACGAGTCAATGGCAGTCAGAGTAAGTTTGGGATTTCCTAATTTTTCAACAGTAAGCATGCATTACTAATAGTGTTTCAGTTACAGTAAATAAAGAACAGATGGCAGTGAGGACTGAGAACACTGCATCATAACCCCTGAAAAAGCTTCCTCTTGTTCACATAACTGGTGGCAGGCGGCACTCGTCTTGCACTAGAGTTCCAAGATCTCTGATCCGGACAAGGAGTAGAGGGTGCTAACACTTATACGATGATTTTCTGCGATCCCTAGACATAGAACCTGGTAGAGAAACCAGAGACCAAAAGGTTTTCCACACCCGTGGCAATGCGGTTTCACTCCCTGTACGGCAACATTGTTAGATTCACAGACACTTAGTGACGTTCAGTATGCGTAAGCGTCTAAGCTTACAAATATGATTCCGCAATTCACCCTTGAATTTGGAACTTCATTTCATGAGGGGACTAGCAGCTGTGCCTCTGCACATGACGGGAAATATCAGAGCCTAACAACAAGGTTACAGCACAGGTGTGAGGCATTCTTTGGCTTAAACATCCTACGTTACAGAACAATCTTAGGAATATTGAGGCATAAATATTTGGAGGCGGGAGCGTAGCTGGTTTTCACAGAGGTTAAAAACATGTCCTGATATAGAATCTGAGGAGCCTGGTGGCGTAGCAGGTTACATGCTGGGCTGCTCACTGCAAGGTCAACAGTTCAAATCCACCAGGGCTCCCGGGGGAAAAGATGAGGCGATTCAATGTCACAAAGACTTCTAGCCTCGATAAGCCAACAGTTGTACCCTGTCCTGCAGGGGCCTATGGCCGATGAGTCAGAATCAACTCAGTGGCAGGAGGCTTGGTATCACAGAATCTACACAGGAAGACCTCCCCCCACCCCCCACCTTGGTAACGGAGCCTCTACCCTGCCCACCACACTGCCTCAAGCAGGGTGCTCTGCTCACACACCTACTGGTGCTTTCTATCTCAGAGCTGTGAATGAAGCACAGCAGCTAGGCTCCAATCACCCCAGGACCGCTAGGCTGGCCCCGTGGCCTCCCATGACCCCCCTCCAGAAAGGATCAACTGTAGCATTTCCTCTGCACCAGTGTGCACTCAGAGAGACTGCTACAATTTGTATGTAAAATGTGCAAGATGCTTGCTGTGCAAACTTCCCCTAGAAACTCAACAGAACATACTGAAAAGAAGAAGTGTAATTTTTTGACACCCTACTTTGTAACTAGCAACTGGGTCTCGAGAGCTTGTGACGAGTGACGAGGGCCCTGGGAACGTGTGAGTGGCCAGCTAACACGAAGCTGGTGGCTCCCCTGGTCGGAGCAAAGAAGAATAAAGGCTACCAAAGACGCAAAGATATCACTGAAGTCATGGGCCCAGAGATGGTCTCCCCATAGACCAGCTTCAATTTGGTAAGTCGCTTGGGCTTTGTTTGTTTAGATAGAGTGGAATAAAAATGTAACACAAAACCCCAAATCATAAAAACAACTAGCATTACTAGACTGACAGAGATGATTGGATCCCCCACAATTACAGCCCTCAAACACTCTTCAAGCCAGGAGTGAATTTCACCCTCAAGGCTCAATGTTTAGGCAAACAGCCAGCGGGCCTAGAGCATGAACAGTAACACCAGGGCAGCTTGCACTCCCAGCTCAACCACAGGAGAGCAAAGGCGCAGCCTCGGCCCAGGGACCAAGCTCAGGAAGGGGCAGGAAAGGAGGCCGAAGGGAGGGTGGCAAGCAGGGAGGGTGGCACAAGTCAAAACGGGCATGAAGTGCTCAACTGGAAACCAATTGTGTCTGTCGACTTTATCTGCAACACAGTAACAAACGGACAAATAAAATAATTACCTGATTGAAAAGCAGGTGGGGGGGGGGGTGTAGAAAGAGATCATTTTACTTGAAGAGGGAGCCAGCTGTGGAGGAGGGTCAGAGATATGTTTTACTTTATCTACGTAAGACCAAGCATCCTCCGTCTGCTCAGACCACATGTTGTGTCAGGGCCCACCTCTGGTGGCCCAAGGAGGCACTGAGGCTTGCACGGGGGTGGGGGTGGAGGTGGGGGGTCGGCTGTGGAAGCAGGGGCTGGTTAGGGTCTTCTGTTAAAAACAGGAATATGAAAAATGAGGAGCTGATATCAAGGGCTCAAGTAGAAAGCAAATGTTTTGAGAATGATGATGGCAACAAATATACAAATGTGCTTGACACAATGGATGGATGGATGGATTGTGGTAAGAGTTGTATGAGCCCCCAATAAAATGACTTTTAAAAACCCAGGAATATGGAGATTATAATGCAGAACTACGATTCCCCAACAACGTTGGAGATGGAAGTTTAAAAGACTGGATCACTGGCTCAAGTGACACAATGACTGAGATGTGTAGAAGCGTAAAGATGCAGGTTCGTCGACGACGGACATCTAATCCGAGCCTCGCGCATTATACAGCAAAGCCGATCCCAGGCACAGCTGCATTACATCCAAAGGAAGGCACTTAAATCTATAATCTTGTAAGGAAAGTCTAAGAATGTCAAATACATAAAGATAAGGGAAGCGAAGAAAGGAGAAGCGTGCTTAGGCCGCCACCCGGTGACCCTGCTAGCCGCGTGCTGGGGCCAGAAGGGGGCGGAACATGAGGGCACTGGAGGAAGCAGCAGTGACCCCAGATCACCCCCGTCTGCAGTTCCTCGGGGCCCTCCCCTGGGAAGCCCTGGTCAGGGTCCAGTGTGGATGGGGAGACCTTACCTTTTCACTGTCAATGTGGACTACATCTTTGGCTCCCGGATCTTCCTCCCACAGGGGGGGCCCTTTGGGGTCCTTCAGAAAGGCCACTAAGAACTGGGGGAGAGAAAAGAGAAGAGACCGTGTGTTTTCAACCAGGAAAGAGGGAGGAAGGGGGCTGGGGATGCTGCCCTGTCCTTCTGCCTACAGACCCCAGGGCCCTGGCCAGCTCCACTCCGTGCCCAGTAAGCAGCAGCAAGCAGCCTATGTTGGGGGAACGGGGCCTGTTTCTGGCACTCACGGATCCCGCTCCTGTTGTTAAGGGACAGGGGGTCTATTTTCAAGTCATAAAGGCCCATGTCACACAGTAGTGCCCTAAAAAACCTCTACCACCTATCCAAACGTTTTCAGTCACATGACACCTTATTCATTCTGGTCAGCCAATTCATACATAGTACACCTCTTCAAGGACAAAAAGGACAGTTCGGTCCATTCCATTGTGCTCCTGCTAAAATCTCGTCCCTGAGATCAGTGGGAATCAATGTCTCCAGTCTTGTCCAAACAAGGAACACTGACCACCATGTAGCTGCGGCTAACACCGTCAACCCCATAAGCAGATAAATCACACCTCCTTGTGTACTCTTCGCATCATCTCATGCTGTTAAGTTGGGGTGGGAGTACATTAAATTCTGATTTGGGGGTGCATTCGCGGGGCTCAGGCTGGGAAGCCACCGGGGCAGGATGGGCCTCTGCAGGATCAGCTTGTTTCTACACCAAACCCCGCCCCCCTCCAAGTGTGCTGGGGATACGGCACCACCCAGACGTTCAGACTTTAAGGATCTGGGGCGTAACTAGGCTTAGCAGAGTCTCCATTGACTGTCAGAGCCAGAGAGGCCAGAAAGGCTCAGGCTGGCTGGGGGGCTGACCACAGGCCAAGGGGTAGCTGACACCAAATGATGCTGGCCCAGTCACCACGAACCACACTCTCAACTGTCCCCCTTTCTGGGGTCCATCTTAAGACTTTACTACACGCAACACGGCACACGTAGTGTGCACATGGTCTCTCACAGGCGTCCAGTTTTACGATTCCTGTACAAAGCCCCGCCACACAGCGGGGCTGTGGCCCAGTCAACAGTGAAGTCAGAGTCAACAGCCGTGGTGATGAACAGACAAGTCCCAACCATGGGGTCAGGGGAGGGTGATGGGAGAGGATGGCCATGGCAATCGCGCAGAATTCAGAGCCTCCTCTCGCCGGTGGGGCTACAGCGAGGGGGCTGGCAGATAAGGACCTCACGGATGCTGAAGTGGACAGAAATGCCGATGAAGAAAAAAACGACAAGGCAGGTGGAAGGCGAGATGTCAGGAGCGTTTTCAGGGAAAGGATTAGCCGGACTTTTCCTCGGCTAAGTCTGTGGCTTCCGTTGGGGCTAAAAACATGGCCCCAACTGTTGGTCGTCTCGTTAAAGTTACTAGGCCCACTGAGGAAGCAGTGAGAGGTGACCGTGAGATTTATAAAGAAAGAAAAAAGGCTAATGTTCTGACTAGAAACACCACCCCCCATTCCCCGCAAGAAACCAGATGACGTTATTACTGAGACTGACAAAAGTGTCCATCCGTCCTGCTCTTCCTTATCATCTCAGTCCATGTTACGACTTACTGATCACGTATCGAGATGGCGTGGTGGGTTACATGTTGGGCTAGTGACTGCAGGCCACCAGAAAGACGTGGCTGTCTGCCCAGCCAGGACTCAGCCTCAGAGACTCACAGGGCAGTGCTACTCTGTCCATTAGGGCTAAGGTGACCAGACGTCACGCTTTTGGCGGGACAGTCCCGATTTTTGGCGTTTTTAAAAAGTCCTGATTTTTTAAAAGAATGAACGACAAGTTAGGGAACGGTCTATTTAGTCCATATACACCAAATTTTTAATCAAGAACCACCACCCCCACCCCCATCAATGGTGTCTCGCTTTAAATCTGGTCACCTTACATTAGGGCCACTATGGACCGGCATCATCTCAACACCTGTGAGTATGTATGTATTTAAAAAAGGGAGTCCCAGTGGTGCTGTCAGGGAAGCAATGGACTATTAACTACAAGGTCCGTGGTTCAAACCCACCAACTGCTCTCCAGGCGCGCGCACGTGGGCATGTGTGCATGCATGCGTGTGTGGGGCTGTCTACTCCCATAAAGGTTTGCAGCCTTGAAAACCCTACATCGAGTTGCTATCAGTTGGGAACACCTCGAGGCAATAGGTCTGGATTTTAAGTATCAAAATATATCTGTACATTTGTACGTACTGTTTCCAAGCACCCCCTACCTCCAAAAAGATTGGATTTATAAAGATACTAATCATAAACGGTGCAGAGAATGAGGAACAAAAATGAGGCATATAGCTTATGACAGGCTCTGACCACCCACCCAGGCACAGACCCTTCACCATGACCCTGAGGGGACCCTGGACACGCACTGAGCATCCAGTGACGTGACTGAGTAAAGCAGGTTCCCTCGGTCACGTGGGTGGGGCTCATCCAGACTGAAGGACCAGGAGGGAGGTTCTCCTGAAGGGGAGGAGTTCCACAGACACACACATTCTGCCTGCATTTCCAGGCTGCTGGCCTGCCCCCTCCTGCCTGTCCCTCAGGTCCTTAAACAGCACAGCACATGCACACACACACCTTCAAAACGCTTGTAGAAAACTTCTATTATCCTTCAATTCCACGAATTTTTGAAGGCCCTCACATACTATACACATCACAGGTAGTTACATATTTTATATCTCTCACACACACACACACACACACACACACACGGATATATATAGCATACATACCAGGGGGCTTTAAAAGCTCATTAAAAAATGGAATCAGCAGAAATGACATGTTCCCAAATACTACGAAGCCCTGTTGTATAACACAGTACAGTTGAGTCACGTTGGACTGGTGGCAATGTAAGCACATCCCCTCCTGGGGCGGTCTCTCTGGGGAGTCCGGGTGAAAACAGGGTTTGGTGGACAACCAACACAAATTTCCACTCCTTTGGGGAGAAGGTAGAAATGGACAGGGAGGGGGGACACTACTTCCTGGCCCACAATGCCCTGCACGGGCCCAGGGCAGACTTGGTGTTCCCCTCCCGCTCAGTTGGTGCTCGAGGTCTGTGAGAACCAGGAGTGGGACGACCAACCAGTTGGGCCTCCAGCCCGGGTGTTGGCAGGGGACATGCTGGCATCAGAGGACGCGCTCAGGGCAGTGGCAGAGGTGGAAGCTGGGTGTGTCTGTGGATTAGAGGAGGGGATCCCCCAGGCAAGGATGCTCCTTCAACCCATCCAACAGTCACGCAAAGTGGACCTGGCGGAGACGTGAATCTTGCTTCCGGGACCTTCCCTTGGGGAAGCGCTACTGTGGGAGAATGCTTTGCACTCAGGTCTGGCCACAGGGAGCTGTCAAACACCTCCTGGCCTGAGCAGAACCCCGTGTCTGTCTCGGCAAAGGGCAGACCTTGTCAAAACTTCCCCAGAGCAAAACAAGCCACCATGGAGCCGCAGAAACCCTGCCCCACCTGCGCCAGGTGAAAGAAATGCTTGCAGGCACCCACCTGCCTGCGCCCCCAGAAATGCCCAATGCTGGGAGCGCTCCGGCTGAGATTTCCAAGGCCTGAAAACCCCAGGCACCCGTGAAAACAAGGACCGTACTGTGTGCACACCCACCCTGTCTAGGCAGAGGGCCCATGGCTTCCCACAGTCCCCACTCTTGCCTCCGTGCCTAGGGAAAAGGACACGTGTACGGAAAGAGCTCTAAGAGGAGTGGCCCCTTTAATCTGACAGTTAGAACCAGCCCAGCGAGTAACCTTTGTTCTCCAGGTGGGGCGTATTCGCATCCAATGGAGAGTTGCATTTGATCCACTGACTCCTGCCACGTCAGCCTAAGTCAACAACACGCTCTCTACGTTTGCAGAGAGCCGGGAACTAGCCTGCTGTCCTCTCCTGGGCGCTCTGGGTGTCAGGGGTCATCATGGCTGGGACACCACCCACACAGCTGATAGGGAGAGGGGTATCCGAGCATCCCCTGAATGCCTGCTTCTGGGCTCCTCCCATGCTCACCGTTGGCACAAGGATGCGGCTGTGCAGACTGCTGACCGGCAAAAGGCTGCTAACACAGGGAGTTTCCCCCTTCCTGTGCCTGCTTTGTGACCGTTTGGGGGTGGATGAGGACATGAAAGCAGCCCTGGACTCTTTGGGACCATGATGCCGCAGCCCTAATGGCCAGACCGGCACAGCTGTGCAGGACGCAGGGGAGAGCTGCCCAACCCCCCAGGAGCCCTTCTGCGCCTTCTCTCTGGACACAAGGCCCTTGGGGAAATCGGATGGGTGGCCAAGGGCACTTAGGCCTTAGCTAATCTGGCTGACATGGGGCGTGCCACACAGCCATGGGACATGCTGACATTCTGCCCCATCCCTGGTGGCCCTCGCCCCCCCTCCCCCCTACCACTGGAATGGGGCACCGGCTCTTGGGAGCTCAGCCCACTTCTCCAGCTGGTTGACAGAAACATCTCAAGCTGGGGAGAAAGCAGACCTCCCCACCCCCACCCCCACCCCCACCTGGCCTCTGGAAGGGCTGAGACTAAGGTCAGGGCTCAGCCAGCTTATGTGCCCAGTGGGGGCTCAGACCACTCCCACTTTCCGGCCTCAGCTCCAGGATCCTGGAACAGAGTCCTGGGAGGGACAGGCTGAGTGTATACTAGGAGCAGAACCACAACAGTCAGGCCCCTGCTTTCCATAAAGCAGGCACGCTTCTCCGGCTCCCCTGGCCCCACCATCTTTGGTGGGGGGGGGGGGGGCACACACGGGTTTCAGGAGACAGGTGGCTTCCCCCAGAATGAGAGGAAGGCGCAACTCCAGTGGGTGTCACTTTCTCTCCGTGTCTAAGTGGGAGCTGAGACCAGGAGGAGCCAGGCTGCGGAGCTGTACTGTGTCAGGTAAAAGGTGTAGCAGCTGAAAAAGGAGTGGGTGTGACAGGATCAACAGGAAATGACCTGGGGGCGTGGGGAGGGTGTGCAGAGGGAGCCGGGCAGAGGGGAGAGGGGCACTGAGGGTGGGGCAGAGTCAGGGAGGAGGAGGAGGGGGAGAAGGAGGAGGAGGAGGAGAGGAGGTAGAGAGAAAGTAGCAAATGTAAAGAGAAAGACAAAGAGCCAGGAACTCAGGGTCCCACTGGGTGGAAGCAGCAATAGACAGGGCGAGGGTGCACGTGGGGTTTGCAGAGGAGAGAGGGTGGCCCAGCCCAAGCACCGGGGGAGAGGGCTGGTTAAAGCAAGCACAGGCAGAGCCAAAGGGCAGCAGTAGCACTGGGCTGAGCAGGTGCCTTCTCGTCACAGGGAACCACCTCCGTGTGGCTCACTGCTCTTCCATCAGCTCCCAAGCTGGATTTGCAGCAGGGACCTGCATCCATTTGGAACAGGCTGCAGCAGCTCCAAGGTGCCAGCCGGCCCATGTCCTGTGCTCAGTGCTAACCTGGGGGCATCAAATTCCCTCTGCCTGTAGATGAGGGAGGGTCCCTGAAGTCACACCAGAAGGGGAGAACCAGGTGTTTGGGGGTGGGGGTGGGGGTGTGGACATCCCTTGTCAACTTGGAAAAGTGCTGATAAATCCCCAAACTCATCTATAGGGCTGGTCAGTCCTCCTGAGGAATTCACAGACTTTCCTGGGATACTCTGCTGACTTATGCACAAGAGATAAGCATCCCTTCAGGCCACTGGAAGAGCTATTTGTGCAGGTGCCCTTCCTCCTCCCCCGGAGAACCTGCCAGACTGCTGGCGTCCATTCACATCCCACCTCTGCGGAGAAGGAGGGAGGCAGATTTACCTTAAATGTCACCGCCCGGGTATATTCAGTGTGAAACGCGCCATCCCTGTCAAATGAGGAGGAAAAGGTGTCAGCTTTCAGAAGGATTGTGAAGAGACATGTATTTGGTTTCCGGCAGCATCTTATTAAGATTCAGCTATCACACTCAGTTCAGATTTTTTTCTAAAGAAATAATTGTAAAGCACAAGCAAGGTTCAAAAACAAACAAAAACAACAAAACACAAAGCGATTCTGAAATAAAATCCAACTGACTAAAACTCGGGGGTTGCTGAGACTACCAACAGACACTGCCAGCACGTACTTGGAAATTGGAAATACCACGTGGACTTACTGGTAATGGAATAACCCGACCTTCTGGTCCTCGGCCCCCAGGTCAATTTTCATCTTCCTGCACAGTTTTCTACTCTCTGCGTCACTGAAAGACAGAAATGCGGGGGCCCTGTGTGACCTGCAGGGCTCACGGAGGGGGCTCCAGCGATCCAGCCGGAAACCTGGGGTTCTCGGCAGCAAGGGGGCCCCTTCATGAATGAATGGGTTCTCAGGAAACCTCAGGAAGGCTATCCTTGTGGGATACGGGCTGGCCTGGATAAAGGAGGTATCTCAGACGCCGAGGGGCACACAGTCCTTTTAAGAAAAAAAAAAAAGAGCCTATGCCTCGACCAGTGGTTTCCAGCCCTGGTACAACACTGAACTTCCTGCTACCACCACACACACCCCCCACTCCCTGCAGCCCTGCTCCCCGTCACAACAGCACCACCTCACTGGGGGTGGGGTAAGGATGGGGCCCAAGCAACACTTTTGTTTCCACTGCTCTCGTGTGTACAACATGCCTTCTGGCCAAGAGAACACAGCGTCCTGGGATTCAGAAGTGGTGGAATCTGACCACATGCTGATAAGCCAAAGTGAGAGAGCAGGATGTCAGAGAAGCATCTGCACCCTCGGGCTCCTGGGACACCCAGCGGCTGCAGCTGAACTGACTCCAAGTCATGGCACCCCACGTGTGCTGAGCAGAGCTGAGCCCCATGAGGATTGTGAGGGGCTAATTTCCAGGAGGTTGCAAGGCCTTTCTTCAGCAGTGCTGCTGAGTAGTTTTGAACCCCCAACCTTCTGGTTAGTAGTCAAGCCCTTCAGTCATCTCTCGGCCCAGGGACTCCTCTGCGGAATGGTACGCACACCATTCTCCCGCCTGGCACCACTGTGTGAAAGGCACCCGGGCACCGCGGCTTTGTCAGACCAACCAAAGAAACCAAACCCACAGCTACCCAGGCCATTCCGACTCCTGATGAACCTACAGGCCCTCTCCGCAGACTTTGAACAGTGGTCCATCTGTATGGGAGTGGACAGTCTCCTCTTCCTACCACAGAGCTGCTGATGGGTTTGAACTGCCCACACTTAACCTGAGGTGCCGCCAGGGGTCCTCTGCGAGACTGGTGGTCCTCAACATGTGGTCCCTGGACCTGGACCATCAGCATCCTCCAAGGGCCTGTTAGAGATGCAGGTTCCAGCCCCAACCCAGGCCTCCTGGGTCAGAACACAGGGGAGGCCGAACGAGCGTGTGGCCATAGGTCTGGCAATGGGGTGACCACCATCCTGCACCTGCCCTGCGTCCTTTCCGCACCCGTAGAGATAGGTCAGGTCCTCCCCCGGTTTGGCTTCTGCCCCAGCCTCGCAGAGGCCCCACCTGCCTCACAGTATCACAGGACCTCAAGGCACACTGCCACGTCAACCAACAGGCAGTAGCCACCCAACTCGGGTAGAGACCTGCTCAGCACCCCATGGCCACCTCCCTAAGCAGACTGAAGAGACGGGGTCGGCCATCCAACACCCGCTGTTGAGGGTTGACTGCACATCGCCTGTCTCCGGAGGCGCTGCCTGCTAGTATGACAGCCAGCCAAGAGAATGCACCTTCCTCTCCCACCTGTTTACCCAGCTCCCCCCCACCCCCCAACAGCCCCGAGTCACACAGCCGTGTGCCAGCCCTACAACAGATGGACTAATTAAATCAGGCCCACTTTAAAGACCAGCACGCATCGACAGACAATCAAAAGAGAGGGGCTTTTCCTAAAACATAAGCACACAATCTGTGTGTCAAGACAGACACCAACCTCTGTGGGAGGGATGGGGACAGGGCCATCATCTGCCCCACCTGAGCCCTGGCCCAGCCTGTCCCCTCCCTGCCATCTCCCTCATCTCCACAGCCTCTGCCCCAGGCCTGCCAAATACTGGGGGTGCAGAGATGTGTGGTGAGCTCGGAGGGGGGCTGGCTCATGAATGCAGGTTCTCCCCCACCCCTAGCAGCGGTGAGGGCCCTTTAAGATCGGGACAGTCTGAGAGTGAGAGGCCAGGCGCCACACTCACAAGGCAGCCCAGGGCACTGGGGCTAGACTCGTCCTCACCTTGCCAGCCAGCAGTCTGGGTTCTGACCCGCATAGGCTCCTGGTCTACCCAGGGTCCTCTACAGCAATTCCTTTTACAGCACTTCGCGGTGGGAGCCCAGTCGGTCTAGTGACAGAGAAAATGGATTTGCTCCATAAACTTTCACCCCGTTCACAACTTGTAAAAGCCACCAGGAGGCCCGACAACTCCCACTGAGAGTGTCCGACAGGGCCCAGTGGTGACTCAGCCTGATGGTGGGTCCATGTGGACCAGCTGCCTCTGAGGTGCCCTTCCCTGCTAAGGGCTCAGCTCGCACGTTTACAAACGTCCACTTGGCACTCCTGTCCCGCTCTGTTCTGTTGTGTCCGAGTGTCCCTGTGACCGCCTCCCTCCCTCCCACCCAACCATAGCTAACAGTGAGGGACAAGAACCAAGTCTGGCAGGCTGCAGGTACTCTAGATCCACACTGGCACCCAGCGGGGTACCCTGAAGGTCTGCCCCGATTCCTGCTTGCCATGCCCCCTGAGACTCTGCTAGCCCCAACCCCATGCCAGCGTTGGTTTAGTCGGCCTGGCTCAGAGCTGCTTCCCCGGACATCTGCAAAAGCAGAGAGACGGTGGACAGGCTCAGAGTCCCCCAAAGCCCCCACCCCATCCCTACACACTCCTGTAGAGCTCTCTCCGTGGGAGCCACCCTGCTATAGCTGTAGCTCGCACTGAACCAGGGCCAGGTGCAGGAGCAGTACCCCACACCCGCCAACCTGGCCGAGTGGGGCTCAGGGGCGACTCAGCTCCCCCCTGAACCCTGGCCCAGCCCAGCCTGCAGCCGCGGCCCTCCCTGGAAGGCAGCTGGTGGGAATGGCACCTCCCTGGCAGCTCTGCCCCCGGCCAGTCCGGGGGGCTTTGTGGGGGGCGGGGGCTTGGTTTTCCACGTTACAAACTGCAGGAGCCGCCCAGGAGCAAAGTGCAGGAGCTGAGCAAGCACTCTGGTCCTGCCTACAGGGGCTCCAGGCAGGTCCCTTTTCACCCTCATCTCGGAAGCTCCATCACCTCTCCCCTTGCCTCCCAGCCTGATGATCCTCACGTAGACACAGTCAGCATGTCGCTCAGCGGGGCAGAGAGACCACATAGAAAACCAGCGGGCCCAGCACCTGGCCTGTGTCACTGACTGTAACCTTATACCCCAGCATCAGCCAAAGGAGGGCATACTTTCTCCCTTCTGCTGGGTCCAAAGTGGCGTGAGTCTGCACGGAGGGCTCTGGGATCCGCCGGAGGTGGGGGTGCAGAAAGGCAGGGGCCACCCCTCACTTCAGAGACACAGAGAACGCAAGGTGAGCACTCTAGAAATAGGGTGCCACATGCCTCGGACACAAAAGAACGTTGCTGGAGGCAAGAGGCAGGGCACCATTAGAGCCGCGTCTCGGAATGGCTGGGGCTTAACCCTGGGCTGGGCAGGGCAGGACCTCGGGGTCCCTGCAGCACTGCTGATGGGAGATCTCCCCGCAACAGGGATCCTCCCCAGCTGGGCTGCTCTCTGTGGCACCCACCTCAAGAAAACCCAAAGCCAAACTTACAGTCACCGGATCGATTCTGAATCACAGCGGCCCTAAGGGGACAGGTGGAACTGCCCCTGGGGGTTTCCGAGACTAACTCACTAGGGAGTAGACAGCCTCGTCTTTCTCCAGACGGTCTCGAACGAGCTAACCTTGCAGTTAGCAGCCTAACTCCGTCGCCTCAAAAGACACATTATGAAGTATAGAGTTACGCAGGAGAGGATTAACCGAGGGGGATGGAGCAATCGGTACAAATGAATGTTGTGTTCGCTCCTCAGCCTCGCGGGATGTCTGCCCACACCTGCTTCTCCGACCCTGCAGTTCTAGGTTCTCCTCGGCTGGGGGGCCAGTGTGCCCAGAAATGTCAGAAGTCACGGGGCTTCTCCTGAGAGCCCGCCTCACACCAGGGTGAGTCAAGGCTCATCATGCTCACACTGAAAGAAACAACCTGTTTGGGGGCAGGTGCAAATCCAAATCACTTTTAGAAACAAAACATGTAAGACTTCGAAATATGCGCTGCCTGCCCCTGATCTTTGGGTGGAGGAAGCCAGTGTGGGTCCAGAGGAAACTAAGCAGATGGGAGGAAAGAAGGAGGAAGAAGAAAAATGTGGTTATAGAATGACCTTAACCCCCAAGGCATGCAAGAGGTGAATGCTCCGCTCCTCTCGGCTCGCTCCCTGAGAGAAGAAGCCTCTGGAATTAGCATACCGGGCACAGCTCAAGCCTGCTGGCTCTAGCCCAACTTCCCAGACAGCAACAGGCGACACTCACGCCAAGGCTGAGCCCACGGCCAGGCGGCCGGGGCGTGAGGGGAATACCAACTCCCTGCACACACAACCCACTTAACCACCAGACAGCCACCACCAGCCCAAGCGAGTGTGGCCGCCCAGCTCTGAGCCAGGAGGTGGAGTGAGCGGAAGGAGAGCAGACAAATCCCTGGACAGAGGCCAGCCACCTCCCAGCAACAAGGACGGGGCCTGGGACAAGTGGGGAACCAGCGGGGAGGGTCCTCAAGCACAGGGCCAGGGAGGAAGGAGTCAGAAAGGAGGGAAAGAAATGTCCGTCTTCAGGAGCAGAAGAGGCCAGAGGAATGAGGGAGGCAAGAGTCGGCCAGGTGAGAGGGAAAAGGGGGGTCGAGTGGCTCCGAGGGTAGGAGAAGAGAACCCTAAGAAGCAGACACCCAGGAGGATGGAGAGATGCACCTGGAGAAAGAAACATCCCACCACGTGCTCACACATCCCACACAGGGCGTTCTCCCAGCCAGGCTGTTCAAGGGCAAGGGCAACGTGGAAGACGCAAACCGAAGGCCAGAGAGGGTCAGTGGTGGGCCAAAGGTCCCACAGCAGCCTGGCGTCAGAGCCAGGTCACCTGAACCTCTGCAAACCCCACGTCCCGCTGCGGCCAGAGCACACTGCCTGTTGTTCTGGGGGCTCACACCTGGTTCAGGGCCAACCTTAGAAGACGCCAGGGAGCCCCAGCCAATCACA